CTATAAATAGATATTTATACTATAATAAAATAATAAATCCTACTGTTAAAAATAAACTAATAATAATTCAATAAAAATAAGTAAAAATAAAACTAAGTTATCTATTCTATCACAATACCTTATATAAAAGTTGTTAACAAACATATTATCAAAGCTTGAATTTCAATTTGCTTAATCAAAAATTGATTTGTTGCAAGAATTAAATTCTCAACTCATTGCCACAATTTTCGAGCTTAGAAAAGAAAATGTTAAGATCAAGATCAAGAATACAATATTGAAACAGACTATAGAAGAAAATACTGAGTTTAAGATCAGATTCAAGAAATTAGAAAATAAAAATAAAATATATATCAGTAATCTTATTGCTAAGAATATTGAGCTTAGAGACAGAGTCATGAAATTGAAATAAAAGCAGATTCAAGCAAAAGGTATTTTGCAAATTATTGACTTACAGAGTGAGGATACAGTTGTATCTGAAGAAACAATTATTCCTGATCTCTCACCTGAAATAGAACATAGCCTAACAAAATCTAAATCTTTAACAAAACTTAAAGAATCAAAGATTCGATACTCTGCATCACTCTCTGCAATCTCTTTATCACAAGATGATACATCTAAACAAATGTCAAAAAATGTATCTGATATATCTGATATCACTTCAAATTCTGGTGTATGTCAGAAGTCGAAGACTCATAAATCATTGAAAGATAAGGTGATCAATGAATTCCTGGAAGATGTGCATAAGAAAAAGATTAGTAATAAGATCAGGCAGAGAAAGCATGAAGAAAAGTTTCAAGATCCAAACCTATCTTTAGTTAGCCATAAGAAAAAAGGAACAGATAAACTCTAGCAAGAATTGTTCAATACTTCTTTAAAGTCGAGTTCACAAAATTACTCTAAATTAAAAATATTAAATCAGAATAGATCGAAATTTCCAAAATGGTCTGTCCCAAAAAATTTGAGAGCATGGATGGTTCTGCAAAGTGTATTATTAATTCATTCAACATTAATAAGATATTACAATATTTAGCTCAGTTGTGTGATACAACCATGGGCACAGAAAATCGAGCTTCAAAGGCTAACCAGGAAGAAATCATGTGTTGATCTCTTTATAATAAGTATTTTGAATTTCAAGTTGGTAAAATGAATAGTAAAAGTAAAATTGGCAAAAAAAAAACAAGAATCTTAATTTATAATGAAATTAAAAATCAACTCTATTCTTTATAAAAAATAATTACAAGATTTGAACTTACAACCTTCAAATATATCATGAGATACCTTGTCCAAAAAAACTCAAAGAGCTGTAAAAATTTATAAGTTATTTGAAAAGATAGGTCTAGATAAAATTAAACATATTAAAAACTATAGTACAAATTTTATCTTGAAACTTACTAATGACCAAATTCAAGAAATTATTAATTATAGTTTAGAGAGCTGAATCTCTAATTTTTCTTTGCTTGAAATCACATCTGAAGTATCTTTTGAAGATAATGTAATTAAGGTAAGTAAATCAATGGCAATTTCTACAGATTTGAAAAAATTATCATAATTATTCCAGAAGTAAAGCTCAAATCTCTAACTTATTAACTGAGATGAGTGTACTATCTGAAAAGGTTTTATCAGAAACAACGGTAAATATAATATCTATAAATAAAAATTCATCCAATGAATCCTGACTTTCAATTTCTATATTATCTAATGATTCAGAAAAAAAATGAAATTTTGTTATTTATACCACATTGAAGCAATTCAATAATTTATCTTTAAAACATAGCAATAAATATAGCAATTATTATAATTATTTAGGAACATGTTCAACATGTAATAAAGAGCATCAAGGATGTGATGTGAAAGGTCAATGAGGTAATGGCAATTACTGTGGTGAAAAAACTTATTGTTTCTATTGTCGTAATAGAACTTTTAATGAAATCCTGATAATAAATATTAAGGTATAAATTAGAGAGTCAAAGATCACTCTGTCATCATTTAAGTATATGCAGTGCAAGTCGATATAACAGACACTAAATAAAAATTTGATATATCAGCTTTAAGATTCAGAACAGTTATATTAAATCTTGATTGATATATGATCAACTGTAACAAATTCTGCCTATGTTATTGGTAAATACTTATTAAATATCTTTTATAGTCCTTTTACTACTTAATAGCATAGTAGAATATTTATTTCTTATATATGATTATATGGCAAAATTAGATTTTGCCCATGA